TTTGTGAATTTCCAACTTGCAATAGGGAATTCCAGCTTTTAGTTTGTGCTTGCAGGGGATGATGGGAAGTAAGGTATCATATTGCAAATTATGCTGAAAAATGTCAATAAAAACTACCGAAACAACCAAAATATTTCAATATTTACAAGTATAAGCTATCACTCCGTGTTTACAAGGCCATCATTTTTATATTTTTCAGCATAATCAGCAATGTGATACCTTACTTCCCATCGTCCCCTGCACGCATAAACTAAAAGCTGGAATTGCCTATTTTTTCGCGTCAGTTGCAATTTATTCTGAGAAATCTGCCTATCAAAATTGCAATTTTGTGGGACAATATTGCAATGTTGCTCGGAAGAGAACATCCGGTTTGACTGTAATGTTTATCTTGCGATGACTGAGGAAGTGCACTTAAAAATGAGGAGTGCATTTAAATTTACAATTAATAATTCCTTGCACTAGGGGTGCACATGCAGAACCAATGTTTAAAGTTCCGGCCGGAAGCAGATCTGAAAGGAACCAGAAAAAAGTTCCGGCCAGAACTTTATTAAACCATATATTGTTATTAAACCATATATAGTTATTAAACCATATATTTATTAAACCATATATAGTCATATGTTACCTTGTCTGCTGCCAGACAGGCAGCAAGATAGGCATTATCAAGGAGAGATGTCTTCTTGGCTATGCCACCTTAACCTTTGTTTACACTTTTTCTTCCATTTCATTGTTTTTAATGACGTTCATAATTATTTTCCACAGTACTACATGTAAGATATTGTCAAAATAACTTCCGGTGGAGTCCCCTAACCTTTTAAGGTGGCATAGATAAACAAAAACGACTGTAGATTCCGTTTAATCAAGGCAGTTGATATTTAAATCAGATTGATGAGTAAATTCACAATGCTGCTTACAGTTGATTTCAAATTACCTGTACTTTTCACTCAAATGTTCCGAACTTCGTTCCGAACTTCGCAAATTCGTTGCCAAGTTTAAAAGTTCATAGTGAAATTCACAAACAGGTTTGTAAACAAAGCCTCTGATTGGCTATTAAATCAAACCAGCCAATCAAATGCCCAGTTTACAAACCTGTTTGTGAATTTCTGGCCATTGCCCTTCATGTCTGACCATCGGCACAATGACGAATGATTCCAGTTTGTACTGAAAGTCAATGCATAGTTGTGACAATCAAAGGCTTTTTAATATTTATACATGTATAAATTAAAAAACTGTACAATTAATGCCTTCCCTTTGTTTCTTATTAACCTATCAATTAAGTTTAATTTATACATATCGAGACTGGGATCAACAACAAAGTTTACGAATGCTGCAGGTAGTTACATGTCATAAATATCCAGTTTGCATTGATAAATTACTGTGCTTGGCTAAAAAAATACTAAAACAATTATTCGCCAAGGCAAGGTGATTATTGGGGAATATTCACCTCGGCTTCGTCTCGGCCGGAGGCTTTAGAAAAGGAAAGCGACTTCTCAGGGTTCGTAGCGGTCTTTGAAATCGTTGAAAGTCGTTAAATTTTAATGCAGGTCTTTAAGGTTTTTGAAAAGTCTTTGAATTGTGTGAAAAAGCGAAGAAAGTCTTTAAAAGTCTTTAAAATTAATTTTTTATTTGATATTCGATTTCCTATAGCTAATAAAATAGATTGATTGAAGAGCAAGGTTTTCGCAAATATCGACGAAAAGGTACATTTTAAAATGTGATGTAGTGAAAATGGTGCTTACGCTCTCAATTTTTCGACTGCTGATTGCTCTCAAAGTCTTTGAAAAGTCTTTGAAAATAGGCAGAAAAACGCAAAGAAACTCGCGAAATTGATTTGTTAAGTTTTTCAATATCTCAGAGAATAAAGAATATAAGTAGAGTGGCAGGTTAGATATGTGAGACAATAACATCTTTTTTACACTAAAATGCTATTCTCGGTCATTCATCAGATTTGACTTCCACTACATGCCTAAAATGTCAGCGTCATCGCTAACATTTTGGGCATGCGATTGATTCATCGAGGAGAGTTAACGCATCTGATTGGTTCATGTTCCCTTAATGGTAGCTGTGGCTGTCAAATCTGAAACTCTTCACCACTATGACTGAATATATACCGTATTTAGTATATGTAAAGGCCCTTAGTCAGTGAACTTTTTAGCTTGTTCGCTAAAATGAACAATAATCTGTCCCGTCTATATGTAAAAACTGTAATTATATAATAACTACAGTGAAACACGCAATTTGATTGGTCAACAGCCGTGCAGGATCAGACAATCCTGCACGGGAAATTCTGAACAGAAATTCTTGCACATAATTTTACAAATATACTCGCATTGTAAAGTTTCATTGTACGATACCTTTCGACTTTGAAGTAAGTTTGCAATTATTGAGACGTTGGTTTAGTTGTATGAATAAATTTCTGATCGATACATTGCTGTCCAGCAAGTAGCAACGCGTAGCGTTGAAATATTTCATCTCATCAGACCATGGCAAGTACAACATCTCTCGCTTCAAAGTTCAAACGCTTCGCAATCTTCAAGTATTCAGGTCGAGAATCTTCAAAACTACTTTCATTGGCTCTCTGTTTAGCGGGTTTTCCCTTTTAAATTTCGTATAGTTTATCGACAAAGTCTCTGTGTTTTCGCTGTATATTTTCGCGAATTTGCGATCAAATTCTGTTCACATTTGTTGTTTTTTCAATAGCGTGGAGTAGCGATTCTGCGATTGGTTAATTCACGATTGTTGTGAGAACTGCACATTTCATCAGTAATTCTAATCAACTTAACCGTCGTTTCACTGTAGTAATTTTATAAAACAATTACCAAATGGTTTTCCCGTGCAGGATAGCATGATCCATGTACTTGGGATGTTGCTCGACTTTCGGAAAGCGTAAAAATACACTCGCCTACGGCTCGTGTATTTTCACGCTTTCCGAAAGTCTCGCAACATCCCGCGTGCATGGATCACGCAATCCTGCACGGAAAACCATTCGGTATTCCTTTATTATATTATTGCATTCTGCAGGACAGTGGATCTTCAGGTTTATAATATATCTTCGAAGATTCTTCTAAACAGAGATCAAGACTGCGCAGTAAGAATGCTGGCGAGAAAAATAAATTGGAGGAACTGGTTTTGCAACTTAATAGGATGAACAACATGCTGGGTGATACAAAAGGGGATATTACTTCTGTCCAGGTTACACTGTATATGAATGGCCAATTTACGTTGATGAAGAAGATTATGGTATTTTTGCGTGTAATCCAACTCGGTGCTTTCAATATTGATTTGATATTAAGATGCAAGGCTTTGAATAATGATAATTAGTCATTGTTTATTAACTGTTTGGATATTTTCTTGTATAAACGACTGGAAGAGGAGATTTCACTTTTGGAACAGGAAATGTTTCGATTTCTTTGTTACAGAGACAAAATCACCCCAGATCTCGCCTCCCGTTTGGATTCATTAGATAAAGGTATATATTGTATGTATTTGCAGAAGATTGCATAAGAACAGAACAGAATTTCATAAAAAGTCCAGTTAGACTCGTAGTCTAAGAGTCCTGTTAGTTCTGTTAGATTCGTAAATCTTCTTCATTCTTGTTCAGAAGACGTACCAACAGTGGATATGGACGAGAACATGCGCTGTTTTTACCGTTTTCGAATTACTGTGTCAATGATAACATTTCTGACATTACTTTCTATATATTCATGATAACATTGTTCGTTTTCCTTTGTAATATTTGTATTGTGATTGCTTTTGTTGGTTAAATTCTCCTCAAATGTTTTTGTGCTTAGTACTTACTTGATTATTCAACATAACCATTGGATATATTATTAGGGAAAGTACAAATCAACGCAGTCCAACCGACAGGCATTACATGGGGAAAAAGCTCTCCTTAAATCTGGCATCTATTTTTGCAAAACAATTTTCTTCAAGCACATCGCAGAAGGAATAGTTGAAGAGTTAGATCTTAAGATTGTTGTCCAAGAAGAAGACGAAGGAGAAGGCGAAGAAGGAGTCGAGGACGAAGGCGCAGGGATGGAGGGATTTACTAAATCTACTGAACAAACCTAAATCCAGCGACAATGAGTGGGTGGCACCCCATGATACCCCTGCCTTTTGAGCAGCTAATACGGGATATTAATTTTTCCCGGGGGACTAGAAGCCTTGGTCTAATTATGAATTTGGCAATATTTGATTTTTTCTGATTGAGAACAAGAGCGTAGATATTAGTTGATTGACCTATATGGGAACAATGTTGTCGATTATAAAATATATATCAAATTATTTATATAAATAAATAAATTAATAAATAAATAGATATTCTTATTATTAGTCTAGGACCTGTATATGAGTTTGTATGCGTTTCATTTAGCACAGGTAATCTCAACTGTTTTAGGGTAAAATGACCATGGCGGTCAACATGGCATATGTGCCAAAAGCTGAATCCGGGACGAAAGTCCTGAAAATGACCCCGCCCTGAAACGGCAGTGTCGACATAGCTCTAACTTCAGAAAACAAAAAGCGATAGTCTTTCTGAAGTGCTTATAGTGTTTAAAAGTGTTGCTTTTAGGGTGGTCATTGGAAGAAAAAATGTGTCTAAGTATAATATTTTACAAGAAAATGACCATGCACCACCCCAGGTAAATTGCTAATTATGCATAAAATAACTAATATGCCTGGCAGAAATTAAATATTCTTATTTCCTAAAAAAAATTATCATGGGGTGAAAAACTGTGCTTAATTTAATATAAATATTGTTGATATCATAAGAATTGTCATTGTTTTCTTTAAATATAATACATTTTATTTCACTTACCCCCTCCCCCCCCCCCAATCCTATCCAAGAGTACTTCATTGTAGAATAGTACCAATCCAAAAATTGGAAATATTATTTGTACTTGGGAAGAAAAACCTCCCATAATAGTTGCCCTGTCAGAATTCAAAAGAAGTAATTTAAAATTCACGCGCAAGTTCGCGAAAACACCTCGTGGGTTACATAACAGGGGGAGGTGAATATTTTCACGAAACGTTTGTTCGCCACCACAGCAAGTTTGCTGTGGTGGCGAACAAACGTTTCGTGAAAATATTCACACACCCCACCCCCCCTGTTATGTAACCCACGAGGTGTTTTCGCGAACTTGCGCGTGAATTTTAAATTACTTCTTTTGAATTCTGACAGGACAACTATTATGGGAGTTTTTTCCTCCCAAGTACAAATAATATTTCCAATTTTTGGATATATTATTTACTCTTATCATAATGTAAGTAAGAAGTACTCTTATCATAATGTAATCTAAATACATATGAAAACGAAGAAGTGGCATTTATCGGGCATAGAAGCGGCGAGCCATTAAAATGGCGGCAATTTGATGAAATATCGAAGGACACAATATCGAAGATAAAATACACTGCACTGTTTCAAAAGTGGATGAAACCTTCTTTGAAATCTTCGTCAGCCATTTATGATTATGTAAAAGTACAACAACTGGATGATATTTGCGAGATTCGGCGATAAAAAGCAAACAAGACGGCAAAATATGGCTGAAATCGTGTTTTCGTGGGGGATAAGTGAAATAAAATGTATTATATTTAAAGAAAACAATGACAATCCTTATGATATCAACAATATTTATATTAAATTAAGCATAGTTTTTCACCCCATGATAATTTTTTTTAGGAAATAAGAATATTTAATTTCTGCCAGGCATATTAGTTATTTTATGCATAATTAGCAATTTACCTGGGGTGGTGCATGGTCATTTTCTTGTAAAATATTATACTTAGACAAATTTTTCCTTCCAATGACCACCCTAAAAGCAACCCTTCTAAACACTATAAGCACTTCAGAAAGACTATCGCTTTTTGTTTTCTGAAGCTATGTCGACACTGCCGTTTCAGGACGGGGTCATTTTCAGGACTTTCGTCCTGGATTCAGCTTTTGGCACATATGCCATGTTGACCGCCATGGTCATTTTACCTAAAACAGTTGAGATTACCTGTGCTAAATGAAACGCATACAAACTCATATACAGGTCCTAGACTATATTAATTATTATTCATTTATCTATTCCTAACGATTCTATTGTGGTTTCCCTGCTAGTTTAATTATATCATTGTCGTTGTTGTCAGTAATATAGTTGTTTAAAAATATGTATATATTTTTATATAAGTAAATAAAGATTATTATTATTACTATTCATTTATCTATTCCTGACGATTCTATTGTGGTTTCCATGCTAATTATATTATCGTCGTTGTTGTGAGTAATATAGTTGTTTAAAAATATGTATAACATTTTTTTTCTCCTGCCAAAGTATAAACATAAATGTCTTCTCGTTGACAGAGTATGCTTGGGATTTTGAATAAACATGAATTATCTGTAGCATTTGCGGAAATCAAGATTTCTGATAAATCTTTGCAATTTTGTAATTCTTCGAGTTACACTACGCCTTAATGCTGAGTGAAATACACGTTGTTTTAGGACAATAAAACACGTTTAATTCCAAAATTTCACTCACATTCATTAAACCAAATATGTACCTGAATTTTTGGGTCCGATTTTGCTATATAGGGTGCTTATTTGTAAAGATTAGACAGGATGAACCGTAAATTGACCTCAATTTTAGAAGTATATATTTCAAATCCGAGTTAGTGTTTAGACGTAGTTTCTAAATACAAGTGCCGAGCCATTGTTCATGGCACTGGGGATTTGGAAGCCAAGTTTAAAACACTAACGAGGATTTGAAATTGCTTCTCACACATTAGATACTCATAGCAATGAGGCATGAAATATTAGATATTCAAAAAAGTTACCGTGGGACATTAAAGTGCATATGACATGAAATTTCTTATTTTCTTAAATGAAAGAACTCTTTAAGCTGTAGTGTAACTTATTTTTCAGTTTCTTGTTTTTATGGTTTGTTCCGGAGTATTTCAATTTGTTTAATATGTAAATGAGTGTGAATATGTCTGCTAATTTATGACGTCACGTTGGTTGCAAGCTCAACTTACACTGCAGAGGAGGTTGGACAGCTAATTAGGCGAATCTGGGCGAATCTCTCGACCAATCAGATTGCGCCATTTTCCTCATGCTCGCATGAAGCTTTTGGCATTGAAAATTTACATAGGGCTCATAAATATCGACTTTTTTCATATTGTTATGCACATTTTTTTGGAAATTTCACGCGATACTACTTTTACAACAGTGAATCTACCCATTGGAACGGTATCTTGAAAGGTAAGCGTTATTTTCCAGTTTATTTTGACCTCTCACTTTAGGCGCTATGCCGTCGCGATGTAATTTAATGGCGTTTCTATCAACAATCTTTGAAGACAAAAATCTCAAATTTCCACGGTTCGATTTCGCTATTTTTTTCACAATTAGTTAAACAAAAGTATAATCTTTAATTCTATCCAGCCGGCCCCCCTCGGTCCCGCAACCGTTTTCGAGATATTCACCGTTGAATATAGCCCTCTGTAAAATATGTTGCCTTGTCACTCAGATCGATAATGAACTGCTATTACTCGTTTTTTTCTAAAGAAGTGTGATATATTATAGAAGTTTCGATATATTATGGATTGTATATATTGCAGTTAAAGTGTGCAAATAATTAAAGCCCTTCCGTAACAATATGTTACAAGTGAAATTTATTGTTTGGCTGATGTTTTAGATTTGAGATTCGTGATTTTGGCTGGATTCTATTTTTGTCAATGATTTTGTCTGCAAGAATTAAGCATCATCATTAAATTTGGAGGTAAAATCGGTCCTTCCAATCTGTACAGACCTTTTACATCTGCAAGATCTCCGATGCTATGATTGTCTCTCCATCGAGTGACCAAAACCTTGTTCACCCTTCTGGTTATGTTATTGGTATGACTTCTGGATTTTCAAAACTAACCCAGCGACAACCAGAATAACTACTCATCCACCTGTTTCAAAAATGGCTGGTAAAAGTTAACCCTGGTTTAGATGCTAAATTTGTCCCTCAAAATTTTCTCCCACTTGTTGCCAAGGCTATGTCTGTACTTCATGCTGGTCAAAAAGACAATCCGATTTATCACACTGCTCGATGCTTTGGAGAACAACGCCATGGAGATGTTGGTCTGATGCCATTGGATAGAATGCCCTTTATAGGAGTGAAGGCCCTTTATAGGAGTGAAGGCCCACTTGGCCTTTTTTTAACAGTATTTTGTAATGATGTTACACAAGTAATTCAGATAAAGTTTGAGAAATGGTGGTTCTTTCAATGTTAAGCCCCAGAGAGGGGGGTGGGGTCGGGCATATGTGTGGGGCATTTGATTTTTTGAGCAAATTTTCAATCAAATGCCCCACTGTTAGGTAATAAATATTGGTCAAACACCCCACCATTTTGCAATAAATTGCAATAATTACTATATTAATAAAAGCCAGTTTGGTTCAAATTGCCCTAACTCAGGCCCAAAATGCTAATCAAAATCCCCAGAGTGGGGATGCAATTGATGATCAAATACCCCACATATTCCCACCCCCCTCTGGGGCTTGACATTGATAGGTGCAATTATATGCAGGTTTTTTTTGTATTCTCATGTAATGTACCACAAAGTATCAGCAGCATGTTATTGTGGGACCTTTGATCAATATGTATATAAATAGACATATTTTTGTTTTATTGTTGCATTAATTTTAATGGAAAATAAAAATTAATCACAAAGTTGGTCAAGTGAATGTACAAACTATTTATTTCTTCATTTAGTACAGCACATGTTACAACTATGTACTTGTCTTAATTGCATGAGTGTGCATGACAGACGTTTTTTATTTTAATTGTGCACACCCACTTAACCTAGTTTTTGTTTATGAAAATCTAAAAAGTTACCTAATTGAAATAAGATCATTTCTATAACTTGCTAAACCTAGTCAGTTACAATTATATCACAAACATCTGTCAACATACACTCGTGCTCTTCCTTACCACTTGAGTCTCCCACTCACCACATCGCTTTATGAAAATTTTTTGATAAAATTCTATTTTAAAAAAGTCAACCCTATACTTGATATGCTGAACATAGACCTCTAAGATATCTCCTGTGGCAATTAGTCGGTGCAAATACTCGCATAGTTGAGAAGCAAGATAACCAATGTGTGTCCATCAAGTTCCATAGTCTACATCAATTGCAATTGCACTTGGGTCCATTCCAGGATTCTCTGGCCGTATTCTTACATTCACTGGTTTATCTTGTCCATGAAGGACAAGGTATGCTGTTGATGTTGGTAATTTTTCTCATGAGCAGCACCGATGCACTTGAATGGTACAGCATGGGTGATTTCGTCCTCGTCACTTTCATCCTCATCACTTAACTGGTCACCACTTTCTGCCCTATCACCTTTATTACCATATCGATGCTGACCAGGTTCAAGACCAGCCAACCACTCAAATAGATCTCTTAGTTTCTACAAAATCATAACAAGAATATTTTTATTTTATTATTTTGTACATAAACTGTAATCTCTAAAATTAGAAATCTAATGCAAAAGTGTGTTACTATTTACAGTAATATTTATAGAACAACACACAAATATGGCAATATTTTACAGATGAAAATTGAAAAATATCACTATTGTATGCACATATATGTAAACATCTATCCACAACTAGATACAAACAGGCATCATACTTCAGCAAAAATTTATTAAACAATTTGTTTAACTCAAAGCATGTACATATGTATCACAGTGACACAGTACACACGCAATAGAGTCAAACTAGAGCCATTTATAAACACAAATATTACGCCATACAGTACAAGGTTAAAAACAACAAAGCGGATAATAATTTGACTAAATAACAAGGTAACTGTAATGCATTGTAGTATACCAACCTTAAATATTGCGTTTGTTTTCACGTTGATGATACACGGAGATTTAACGTCATCCAAGTTAGAAAGAAGAGCCTCGCTATTGGGAATATAAACACAATTCCTTCGCTCAGACGCATTATTTATTAAGCTAAAATGACAACATGTCCCATGCAAATATTTAAAAAAGGTAAACTTGGTATAGTAAAACACAAGTCATAATGATGATCGCAACAATACAGCAACAACATGCTGTTTCTTTTCACAA